TATTCAGTTTCTGGCTCCGCCACTGCCCTTACTGAAGCCGGACAAAACTTGTTATAGTAGACCGTCAGAAAGTCGCCGTGCCAAGGCCCCACAGGATTAGCGCATCAGGACAACAACCGCCGTTGACAAAGAGCAACGTAGGTTGAAAGGATCCAACCTAAAGACACACAAACGTAGACGATCTAAGCAGATCCACCAAAAACAATCATTGATTAAATCCTGCGAGATTCGTCAGAGACACACCTCCACACGCCCTTCGATGATACTGGACGCACATCTGGTTTCGCATGCAATATGGCTTGAGTTGACCAATATTGAAAATCATTCAAACAAAGGGGTACTTCCTAGTTCCAGTTTATCAATCTCCCTTGTAATTCATGTCGAACTTTGATCATAAATTTGACTAGCTAAATATAATTTATATGTAACAAAAATTGTGCCATTGGATTTACATGGGAATGCAGATTTCATTGGTATAATTTTTACTACATACAAATAATATTTCATTACTTTAATTTATGGTTAAATTTTGACTCAAGATATGATGGAACTTATAAACCCAATAGGACAAAGTATACTTTGATCACTATGTAGACATATTTAAGGGATTGTTTTACAAAAAGAGCTAGAGCTACATACTGAGAAACGAGAGAGTTCGGTGTTGTAAAACTATATGCATGGATGGTGTATCTCTACTATTAAAAGGGAGTTGATATGTTTGCCTCATGTCCTTCCCTGTCCCTCTCTCCTACGTTGGTCTTTTCCTTCGTTAACTCAATCAAACCAAATCAAATCAAGTGAAAATATGTCTCAAATGTCCCATTTCAAAAAAATACAACAGGCTAGATGGTTGAGGTTCTACAAACAGGTAATATTTCAAGTTCATATGTAGCTTCGCTTGGGAGTTAGGGAAAACAAATTCAGCTATTCCACATGCTTCACAATTTGTCACTATTCATCGCTATAGTTGATTGGTTTCATGGCTCACAAGTGAAACTGAATTTAAACATGAAAATTGACACAATTGTAGAGAACCACCTCATCAACATATTATATTTGTTTTGGAGTTTTTGAAACTTTCGAAACATAATTTACACTTGGTTTTCACCCTCTTCCACCATAACTTGGTTTTCGTCCTAAATAACTTGGTTTCAGCATATCATATTTCCTCCAAATCCAGGGAAGGTTATTTAGGCAGTCCAATGAATAGTCGATTGTGGAGTTTCTGTTTAACCCATGTAAGGGCATCTCCATTGTCGATCCTCAAATGGACACTATATTTGCCCGCATACATTTCAAAGCAAATTTGAATAAAATAGACGAATTTCATGAAAACCGGATAATTTTCATTTAAACTGAACCAAATTCATTACATTTTCAACATATTTCAACTACACAAAAGCTTTCTGAAGTTAACATAGTCTAAAACTTCGTCGGCGCCATGAGCACAGAGCACCAAAAAGCGTTCGGTGTTCAAGTCCTTGTTGTTCCCCTCAATGTCCATGTGCGGCAGTCATGAGCGCGTGGAAGTGAAGGTGCGATTGCCGGCGAGGAAGAGTAGGACATGAGACTGGACCACATAGGACACGAGGCGTCGCTGTCTCCCATGCCCTACTCCTCGTCGGAGTCCACATCTTGGTTGTCGTCGGTGAAGGTGAGGTTGGCAATGGACGTGCGGGTCAGCCTCGTGGTCGAAGCAGCGCTAACGAAGACCAGTTGGTAGCATGAACAATGCACAACTATGGTCGTTCATGTCCGAGGCCGCCGTGCGAGCATTAAGCGTGGCCTCGTAGAGGGCTTGTTGTCCCTCGATGAAGTTCGGGTTCTCCACCATGGCCGTCGCTGCCTCCTCGCTTGCGAACTCACCGTAGATCTGACCCTCTGCCAGTCGGTGATGCGCGAGGAGGTCGAGGTTGTAGCGCTGCTCCTCCTGCACCTACCGGAACGTCGACATCGGTTGTAGGGCCGCCTACACCTCCGCCATGACGGCGCTGGTGTACGCCTGCGCCTGCTCCAGGGTGAAGTCGGCATGGACCAGCGCGTGCAAGGGCTCCGGCTCATCATGGGAGGCCTCATCCATCGTCGGGTCATCGTCGAAGACCTTTATCCGCCGCGCACTACGGTCCTGTCAGCTGACCGCAAGGGCGGCTATCTCGAGCTTTTGCTTCGTTGTGAGGCTAGCCAACAACACGGTAGAGTTCACAGTCATGGTAGAGGTGCTGCATTAGGAGGAACGGAGGTGGTGTGTGGTGCGGTCGTGCCCGTGTGGTTAGGTATAAATAGCGGGCACCGGCCCGCCCAAGTGACGGGTGGTCGAGTGAAGGTGCTGGAGTGGGTTTCTTGGTCGGCACACCTGTTTAATGCTGGTGGGCGGACGGATAGGCAGCTTGTTTCAATAAAGTAGCAATATGTCACATCGAAGTCCAATCTCATCGCTCCGGCATTGAACATGCACGGAGACTGGGATACGGCACGGGTAGCGCTCTCGGCCGGCACACATTTTCAATGTCGAAGCCAGTGAGATGTCGTACCCGCTTTTGCGCTAGCATGATTGTGATGCTAAGCGGCATGAATACATGACGACTGCTTCACGCGGGAGAGACGCAGATGTAGTAGACGTTTGTGAGTGGGTCAGTGGTGTCATACACGTACGTGGGAGCGGCCAGGCGCGCACAAAGGCGTAAAACCCATCTTGATTTACCCCTGATCGGCAAAAAAATAAGCATTCAGACCGGTTCACGGACCAATAAAATAATGTACTGAATGGTAAATCGCATCAAAAAGGAAGAGCACTCCTGTGCTTTACTACTCTGTTTTCCTCTGCTCTTGTTAAGCTCTTCCAGGGCAGGAGACACTTGCGCGCGCTCGTGTGTCCCCACCGGAGAAACCGGGAGAAAAGGAAAGAGCTTCGGCCAACACTCTTGGCCAGACCATGTCCCAGCTCCGTGAGGACGGCCTTGCTTGACCACGTTTGCGGTGTCCTCACGGACGGGAAGCGATGAGGAGCAGCCCGGTGAGCGGCCAGGCGATGGCCGGTAAGAGCTTGTTTGGTTCGACGTGATCCCTCGGGGATCCCCGTCTAAAACCGGGGCGTACAGCCCACGGGGCAAAGTTGGTCTGCGGAAAACTGTAGGAGCATTTGGTCGCTCGCTCACCAGGGATTATGAATCCCGATCCGCGTCGTTTCCACGGGGCAGTTTTCCACGTCTCCAGGGATCAGGGAGGAAACCCACGGACGCGGTGCCTGATTCTTCGCCGCCTCCATCCAGAGACACCCCTGTCACAGGCTTTCAGTCCTCCTTCTTCCCCCCTCCTTCGGCGTCCAAACTGCAACATGATATTTTTCATGGTTTGTACAGGGATACCATATGAGCAGGGAAATCCCCGCTTGGGGGTTTACTGCCCGGGCTTTTCCATCCCCAACAACTAAATGAGCCCTAAGAATTGCACTTGCACCTAATGTCGGGTCACAAGCTGTTGGATTTTTTATTTTTTATTTATTTATTTGAAACTGGAACACTCGGTTCCAAAACTTAAACAGGCTCAGCAGAGTTGCTGGCCGTCAGCACGCGTCCATTGTCCGGCACAGCATCCAGCCACAGCCGGTGGTGCTCCGGCCCATTACATCCCAATGCAGCAAGTGCATGGGCTACCTTATTACCGCCGGGTCACAA